AGGGGCGTGCCTGGCTGGCTCAGTCATTAGAGCCTACGAGTCTTGAACTTGGGGTTGTGAGTTTGAGCCCCACTTAGGGCATAGAACTTACTTAAAAAATGCTAGAAATTAATAGTTTTGAGAACTCTAAAAAATTAACCTTATTAAATATGCTGAAAACTCTTCCAGGTTTTGATGGACACCTGGCTTTATTCTTGCCATGAAGAAAGGTTCTCAGCAAAAATTTTCCAAAGCAAAGATGCCCCCATCACCGCGTTCTCCTAGTTCACCATCCCTCACATCCAATATGAGATCTAGGTCACTTTCACCTTTAGGTGGATCTGAGACTCTGCCTTTTCATTTTGGAGGACAGTGGCATGAGCAAGGTGAGATCACAGATGAAAACACTATGCTTCTGGACTACCAAGACCATAGAGGTAATGCTTTTTAATCTTAAGAATTTGAACACAGGGGCACCTGGGTGGCTCAATCGGTTAAGCGTCCAACTTTGGCTCAGGTCATGATCTCGCAGTTTGTGGGTTTGAGCCCCGTGTCGGGCTCTGTGCTGACAGCTCGGAGTCTGGAGCCTGTTTTGGGTTCTGTGTGTGTGTGTGTCTCTCTCTGCCCCTCCCCTGCTCACGCTCTGTCTCTGTCTCAAAAAGAAATAATAAACACTAAAAAAAAAATTTAAGAATTTGAACACATACTCTTGAGTAGAGATGGAAAATACTGAACGTACCTTTTTGGTCCAAGTGAAATACGTATCTTGGTACTAACACGACCTATTGTTTATGCCGACGGAAAGTGTCTAAGGACAGTGGAGGATGAAATCTTCTGGGTGAGGGTGAAGCTGTCTGAAAGCTGAGGGCAAAGGAGAAGGGAGTTTCCAGAAAGAGGAAGCTTTATTTCCTGTGGTGGGAGAGTGCCTTAGTGCTCATCTGCCAAATTTACCATCATCCTTGGTTAGAGGAAAAGCGTATGTGTTCACTTCAGAGTGGAGTGCCTTAATTCAGTGCAGAAATGTTATCCACCCTTGCACTATTCCAGTCTGCTTATTGACAGAGTGCCTGTCTGTGAACGGACTGATTTTCCTATAAGGGACATGTAAATATTCCACCAAGGTTTTGTTTTTATTTCTTTCTTAAAGACAGTCTGTTAGTGTGGGAATCTGTTTTCAGATTTTTTTTCAAAGAAACGATTTAATGTGACTAAATGTGAATGAAAACTATGTGATTTCTTTGTTAAGTCATGAAGTCATAGCTATCTATTTGATCGGTTTTTATTAATAAACCTTATCAGATCAGCAATTGAGTTTAGACTATACCCTTGCTGCCAGTTGGTACATTGCTGACTCTAATTTGATTAATATTTTAAAATATTAGTTTCTTTCCAAAGTAAAGGAAAATCATTTTATTTGGAACCAGAATAAACGTAATATTAACGTATTATAAACAGTCATAGGAAATCTTTGTCACACAGCCTGATTCGGGAACCCAGCATTAATTTTTTCTGACTCTTAAAGAATTTTCTTTTTACAGCTGCTTTTGTAAAATGTAAGATGGCTTTAATAAACTTTGATAGCAATATGCAGGCTTAGGACAGGGTATGCAATCCATCACATTAGTCTTTATAAAATATGCGGTGTCATTCTCTATTTATAAGACCAACAAATTTAAGTTTCTCACCATTTAAGAAAAGATTTTTAAGAATTCCAGTGTTTCTCACAGACCAATGGAATAGAATAGAGACTCCAGAATTGGACCCACAAATGTATGGCCAACTAAACTTTGACAAACCAGGGAAGAATATCCAATGGAAAAAAGACAGTCTCTTTAACAAATGGTGCTGGGAGAACTGGACAGCAACATGCAGAAGAATGAAACTAGACCACTTTCTTACACCATTCACAAAAATAAACTCAAAATGGATGAAGGGCCTGAATGTGACACAGGAAACCATCAAAACCCTAGAGGAGAAAGCAGGAAAAAAAACCTCTCTGACCTCAGCCACAGCAATTTCTTACTCGACACATCTCCAAAGGCAAGGGAATTAAAAGCAAAAATGACCTATTGGGACCTCATCAAGATAAAAAGCTTCTGCACTGAAAAGGAAACAATCAACAAAACTAAAAGGCAACTAACTGGCGGAATGGGAAAAGTTATTTGTAAAGAACTCACCAAACTTCACACCCGAAAAATAAATAATCCAGTGAAGAAATGGGCAAAAGACATGGACAGACACTTTTCTAAAGAAGACATCCCGATGGCCAACAGACACATGAAAAGATGCTCAATGTCACTCCTCATCAGGGAAATATAGATCAAAGCCACACTGAGATACCACCACGCAGGTCAGAGTGGCTAAAATGAACAAATCAGGAGACTATAGATGCTGGAGAGGATGTGGAGAAACGGGAACCCTCTTGCACTGTTGGTGGGAATGCATACTGGTACAGCTGCTCTGGAAAACTGTGGAAGTTCCTCAAAAAATTGAAAATAGATCTACCTTATGACCCAGCAAAAGCACTGCTAGGAATTTACCCAAGGGATACAGGAGTGTTGATACATAGGAGCACGTGTACCCCAATGTTTATAGCAGTGCTTTCAACAGTGGCCAAATTATGGAAAGAGCCTAAATGTCCATCAACTGATGAATGGATAAAGAAATTGTGGTTTATGTACAATGGAATACTACTTGGCAATGAGAAAGAATGAAATGTGGCCTTTTGTAGCAACGTGGATGGAACTGGAGAGTGTTATGCTAAGTGAAATAAGTCAGGCAGAGAAAGATACTGTATGTTTTCACTCCTATGTGGATCCTGAGAAACTTAACAGAAGACCATGGGGGAGGGCAAGGGGGAAAAAAGTTATAGAGAGGGAGGGAGGCAAACCATAAGAGACTCTTAAATACTGAGAACAAACTGAGGGTTGATGGCGGGTGGGGGAGAGGGGAAAGTGGATGATGGGCATTGAGGAGGGCACCTGTTGGGAGGAGCACTGGGTGTTGTATGGAAACCAATTTGACAATAAATTATGTATATGTATATATATATATATATATACTCACAAATTATGTAGACAATAATTATATGTACACATATATGTATATATAAATATATATATATATATATATGAAGAATTCCAGTGTTTTTGAACTTTAGGTTGGAGTTTAAAAAACAAACCCAGGTTAGTGCCAGTTTATTTAAAAAAAAAAAGCTAACATCAAAATATTGCTGAAAACTTCAGTGCTGCATAATTATTAAAAGTGTAAGTTTTAGGGGTGCCTGGTGGCTCAGTTGGTTGAGCAGTTGACTTCGACTCAGGTCATGATCTCACGGTTCCTGAGTTTAAGCCCCTCGTTGGGCTCTGTGCTGACAGCTCAGAGCCGTGACTGCTTTGGATTCTGTCTCTGTCTCTGTCTCTGTCTCTGTCTCTCTCTCTCTCTTCCCCTCCCCCACTCTCTCTTGTCTCTCAAAAAAATGAATAAACGTTAAATTTTTTTTCAAGTGTATGTTTTAGATTCATCTGCCTGCGTTCAAGCCTGGATTTGCACATCACTAGTTACAAGATCTTGAGCAAACTGTTATAATTTTTTAAAAATAAATAGATATAGTAATTTCTATTTCAAAAATTTGTCCTACAAATCAAATTTTGTAAGTGTAAAGCACTTAGCACAGCGTGGTACATGGTTAATATTTAGTGACATTATTATAGATGCTATATAATTATTATATAATGCTATATAGAGTAACATTTAAACATTGCAATTAGCACTAACCAGCTGTTTTTATATTTGCATGGCTTAAAACAATTTTTTTTTTTGTTATATAACATCAAACTAATATGTTTTTCAGAAAATGTATGTCATCTACTGATGATGATCTATTTCTCTAATTGCAGAAGCTGATTCACATGCAGGAGTCCGATATATTACAGAGGCCCTTGTTAAAAAACTTACTAAACAGGACAATTTGGCCTTGGTAAAATCTCTGAACCTTTCACTTGCTAAAGATGGTGGCAAGAAATTTAGGGTAAGTTATCAGCATTTCTAAATATGGGCATTGTTTTTAATTTTCCTGTGTTTTAAAACTGAAAATTAGGGGCGCCTGGGTGGCGCAGTCGGTTAAGCGTCCGACTTCAGCTCAGGTCACGATCTCGCGGTCCGTGAGTTCGAGCCCCGCGTCAGGCTCTGGGCTGATGGCTCGGAGCCTGGAGCCTGTTTCCGATTCTGTGTCTCCCTCTCTCTCTGCCCCTCCCCCGTTCATGCTCTGTCTCTCTCTGTCCCAAAAATAAATAAACGTTGAAAAAAAAATTTTTTTTAAATAAAAAATAAAATAAAAATAAAAAAAAGAAAAAAAACAGAAAAAGAAAAAAAATAAAATAAAAAACTGAAAATTAAAAGATTATATTAGATTTACAGTAACATCTCTTGCTAATTTGTAGCAGATATTGTATTGTTTCCAGTGAAAGTTCTGTCAGAACTATGACATTTTCACATTCATAAGCTGTTACTATTCTATATATTATTGGATTCTCTCTAGAGAAGTGATTGGCAAACTACAGCTTGTAAGGCCAAATCAGGCCTGCTGCCTATTTTTGTAAATAAAATTTTATTGGAACATAGCCACACTCATTTATCATGAATATTGTCTGTGGCTGTTTTTTATAAGGCCCACAAAGCCAAAAATATTCATTACGTGGCTTTTTCCAAAAAAGCTTGTTGATCCCTGCTCTAGAGTGTTTACTGCTTTATTCATAAACTATCCAATATGAACACATTGTAAAAGATGACTTAAATTTTTGAACTGGAAAATATATAAACTTAGATGCCTACTACAATAGTCACAAAAATTAATTCCAGAAGGTTGAATGTCTTAATGAGACCAAAGCAAAATCAACCCACAAAAATACCGTAACAGTATTAGGAAAGAATATAAGAGAATATATTTTAGAAGAGTCGGGAAAGTCTTTTAAGCAAACACCAGCCTTAATGCCACTTAGAAAAATATTGACAGACTTAGCTTGTGTAAAGATTAAAAAGTGTTTAATGAAAGGTACCTTTTATTTATTTATTTATTTTTAAAAAATTTTTTTTCAACGTTTATTTATTTTTGGGACAGAGAGAGACAGAGTATGAATGGGGGAGGGGCAGAGAGAGAGGGAGACACAGAATCGGAAACAGGCTCCAGGCTCTGAGCCATCAGCCCCAGACCCCGACGCGGGGCTCGAACTCACGGACCGCGAGATAGTGACCTGGCTGAAGTCGGACGCTTAACCGACTGCGCCACCCAGGCGCCCCGAAAGGTACCTTTTAAAAAGTTAAAAGCAACAAACTGGCAGGGACTGTTTTCAACATCTGTAACAATACCCATATAATGTAAAGAGCTTCTACAATTTGGTAAGAGAGACAACTCAATGGAAAATGTGCAAAGGGTATGAACAAGGCATTCGCAAAAGTATTATAAATGACTAATGCTGACATGAAGATGTATTCAACTTAATTAACATCAAATAAATATGAAATAAAATAAGAGTTTGGTACCATTTTCCATCTTGTGTGTCTAATGGACAAGAATCAAAAGGATTATTTCATGTTCAGAAAGGTGTGGGAAGTGCATATTATCATATGGTCTTAGTGGGACATACAGATTGGTGCTGTATTTTATAAAGACTGGTAGCATTTATCCAAATGTCAAATGTACTTATTTGATCCAGAAATTGAGTTTATATTTACTGAATTTATACTTACTAACCCAGCAATTCTACTCCTCAATGTCTGTTGTACTTGATTTACATATACATTTATCCAAAAGTATATAGGCATGTTTATTAAGCATTATTTAAAATAGAAAAGTTGAGGGGCGCCTGGGTGGCGCAGTCAGTTAAGTGTCCGACTTCAGCCAGGTCACGATCTCGCGGTCCGTGAGTTCGAGCCCCACGTCAGGCTCTGGGCTGATGGCTCGGAGCCTGGAGCCTGTTTCCAATTCTGTGTCTCCCTCTCTCTCTGCCCCTCCCCCGTTCATGCTCTGTCTCTCTCTGTCCCAAAAATAAATAAAAAACGTTGAAGAAAAAAAAAATAAAAAAATAAAAAAATAAATAAAATAGAAAAGTTGGAAATAACCAAATGTCAATAGGGGATTGGTTTTAAATGAATTATGATACAGTATACCATGAAATACTACCAAGTTTTTTAGAAAATTGAGTTAGAACTCTATGTATTAACATGAGAAAATGTCCAGTGTATTTAATAGGGAAAAAAAGCAAGTTCTAAAACAGCTTGTATAGTAAGATCTAAAAATTCTGTTTTTATATATGTGTATGTATGGATGTAAATGAATTAAAAGGTGCAGATGTATTTCAACAATGGCTACCTTTGACCAGTGGGATCTTTTACATGGGCCTGGGGACGTGATGAAGAGAGCTTATTATGTTTTGTTTGAAATTTTTATTAGAATATATTTATGTATTACTTATGTAATTAAAAAGGAAACAGGAGAGGGCACCTGGGTGGCTCAGCTGTTGGCTCAATCCGACTCTTGATTTTGGCTCAGGTCATGATCTCATGGTCGTGGGATCAAGCCCCATGTAGGGCTCTGCACTGACAGTGCAGATTCTCTCTCCCACTCTCTGTCCCTATCCCCTTTCAAAATAAATAAATAAAAATTTTTAAAAAAGGAAAAAGGAGACATTCTGGAGTTTACAAGTTGCAAAAATGACACCAAAGTGGTAAATATTTACTGTATGCTTATTATATGCCAGGCATTATGTTAGTCTATAGGAACACCATACACAGGTAAATAAGCTCGGTTTCTGATCTCTGGGAACATAGAGCTTCCTAGAAGAATGCCTAGCATTAACAGAAGAAATAGTGAAGGGGAATCAGAGAAAGCACACAGAGGAGAGGCTGAAGGGGCTATGAGAACAGAAGATCTAAGAGTATGATGGAGCGAGGCCAATGGAGGGAGAACATCAAGCACGAACGGATGATGAAAAATGTCACGGAATCATTAAATAGGACTAAAGCTTAGAAGAAGTCATTTGGATCTGGTGTAAAAAGTCCTTCTGTTTCTCAAACCAACCAAGTTCATTCTTTTAGGGCCTTTGTATTTTTTCTTTTTTACTCTGCCTGTTCACACAGCTGGCTTTTTGTTATTTAGGTCTCAGCTCAGTGTACATCCTCTGTGTGCCACCCAGTTGCAATTAACTCCCTTCTCAGTGACTCCTCATTCTTTCAGTCACCGAGTATTTATTCAGTGCCCATTATGTGCCAGGCATTTATGCTATCACAGTGAACACAGCAGACAGATCTGCCCTCTGGATGCCTTGCATGCTGTCATGTCACGTTATCTTTCTTTTCTTTTGAATATGCTTCAACGTCTGAAAATGTTGTTTATTTCTTTACTGGCTTTCTCCGCGAATGAAAACAAGGACTTTGGTTTCCTTATTCAGCACTGTATTTCCAGTACCTAGAACAGTTCCTGGCACATAATCCATGTTTGAGAAATATGTGTAGAATGGATGAATGAATGGCAGTCTTAGAACTATTTGATTACCTAGTAAAGGCAGAAGATATACTGCCTTACCAATAGAGTAAGAGTAAATGGAAAGCAGAATGAACAAATATACCCAACTCTTGTGAGGATGTGGTCACACATAAAGGAGATAAAATGATAGCTTGATAGGAAAACAGGTTCAGCGCGAGGTGATTTGCCTTATACAGAGGAGACTGAGCCTGTCGAAAAAAGGCTCCTGTAGCAGGGGGGGATGGTCTAGTTCATTGGTATCCATTGCCTGGTGCTGTATCTGGTATGTAGTAACTGCATAAGAGCTGTCTTTTGAATAGTGACTTTTCAAAAAAGTTTATTTATTTTGAGAGACAGAGATAGGGAGCCGGGGGGTAGGGGGAGGGCAGAGAGAGAGAGAAAGAGAGAGAGAGAGAGAGGGACAGAGAGAATCCCAAGCAGGCTCCAAGCTGTCCATGCAGAGCCTGATGGGGGGCTCGAGCCCATGAACCTTGAGATCACGACCTGAGCCAAAATCAAGAGTTGGACGCTCAACTGACCGAGCCACCCTGGTGCCTCTGAGTAGTGACTTTTTAAATTTGATCCAGGAGAGATAAAGATTGAAGATGCAAGAGCATGGGGTGGGGGGAGGGGGGTAGATGAGATGATGCAAGGGTGTACGTACCTAGCTGAACTTTGAAGAAAGAAGGAGAAGAGGGAGAGGGATAGAAAAGTTGAGGTGGAATTCTTGGTGGACAGTCTTGAGTGTCTCAGTACATAGGAAGTGTTGTCTGTCGAAGGGCAAGGAAAGTTTGGGGAGAGCTGCTATTCCTGGTCAAAGGAATCCCGTACCAAGGGATTGTCCAGGAGAGCAGTAAGGGTTTATTATTTTCTGGTGACTGATCAAAACAGCCCCTGATGCACATACATACACGGTGTACTTTATGTCAAAGAATCTGTTGTCTAAAGTATTCATTTGTTTCCAATTAGTATATCGAAAATTTGGAAAAATGTGTTAAACTTGAAGTACTGAATCTCAGCTATAATATAATAGGGAAGATGGAGAAGATGGACAAGCTGGTAAAATTACGTGAACTCAACTTATCATATAACAAAATCTGGTAAGTAAGTACTTCTTTAGGTAGCATTGCAGGGTTGTCTTTGTTAGAGAGATTAATGCCACTCACATTACTGAATTGAAAGAGTCCTTTGAAATAGCAGACACCTGGATCCTCATTCATTGCTAGCCTAGTGCTTCACATATAACTGCTTTTGTGTTTTGGCATTACTAAAGTGCAGAATCATATCTTTCTAGCGTTATCCAAGGAGATACATGAGTACCAAGTTTTATCTTAATTCTGTTTTTGACAGGAAGTTTTCACAGGTAGAGTCTTTGATCCACTGCCTTATTACATTAAGAAAGTTGACAGGAAGCAGTGTTTTAACCCTATCATTTCGATCCTAAAGATACTCCAATGTGTTTTGATCCTATGTGTTTATCCTGAAGCTTTTTGTTTATTGCTCTAAGAAATACACTCTCAGTCATGTTTCCACTTCATAGTATATATTACTGTGAGAAAGAAACATAATAAAACTGGCAGTGGCAAAAAAATACACATAGAAAACCTGTTATAAACAAAAGGATGCAATTGTCAAATCTTGAAAATCTTTATATACTTCGCCCTGCCTTAGACTTGGTAGATACAGTGGCCAACAAAATAAAACAACTAACAGTGGCAGAGGCTCTAATACAGCAAAAATGGAATGGGGGAAAAAACCTGATTAATGAGTTAAATCCTTAACATAAGGATTATATAAAAAATAATTGATCGTAATGAAAGCAATTTCAATAAAGTGAAAATGAAGATATAAAAGCTTGGAAATATTTGCCCATATAGAAAACTTACCAAGAAATTAATTTGACAATTCAGTTGGGAAAATGTTTCATCAGTGAAAATTCCTCAGTGTGAGTGATGCTTTATTGATTTAAATATTCTGACTGAAATATTTATGTTCATAAATATAGTGTTGTTTTAGGGAGGCCACAAGTTCAAAATGGCAGCCATATCTTGCTGGCATAGCGTGTGTGTGCTCTTGAGATTTTCAGCTCTCCTCTAGCTTCACACTAGTGCTTCTCACAGTGATTAGAATGCCACGGACAGACTCTTTTCTGTATTGTGGGATCCTAAAGTTTGATAGTAAGATACGTAGGATTCCTGACCCAGTAATGCAGAGTTGGCAGCTTAGCTGTTCTGATCAATTTCTTTTCAGCCACTTTTTGTTTGTTTCTCATTTATAAAAAGGGTTAACAAATTTTAATTACGAAAATTAACCCCACATAAAACCAAGGCAATTTATTCTAAACATACAAGGGAAGCACTGTATCATTATATTTACTAAATTTGATTTTATTTTTTCCAGCAAAATTGAAGGCATAGAAAATATGCATAATTTGCAAAAGCTAAACCTTGCAGGAAATGAAATCGAACATATCCCAATATGGTTAGGGAAGAAGTTAAAATCTTTGCGAATCCTCAATCTGAAAGGCAACAAGATATCATCGGTAAGTTATTCAGAGTAGCAAGGATGTTTTTCAAATTTTTAGACTTATGGAAAAAAAAGTTAAAATCTAAGTTTTTTTTTAAAAAAAATGAGATTTCTTCTTTCAAGGTTCTTGGTCCTGTGACCATTTATCGAATTCAGGCATAATCAAGGGACTCTCCAGGGTAAATACATATAGGCCTTTCTGGTTTTGCAAAGTTCCATGGTAACTGAGAGTTGGCCTCTTAGGATTTCTGCATCTACCATTTCATTTGAGCCTCAGAAAACTTTTTTTAAGGAGGCAGTAAAGGGATTATTTTTATAATACTATCAGATAGTATAGTCTTTTTTCCATTTTCGGGTTGAGTCTGTT